GGGGGGGGGGGGGGGTCGCCTTTTGTTCGTCCTGCTTTAATCAGAGTAAATTCAGCGGCAGCAGCAACTCAGTAATTTCTGCCGCACGACAATAGATCCTTTTTACGAAGCTGCGGTATGTAATAGCGCAGATCTACGCAATGGCTGCGAGCACTGAACCACCAGCAGTAGCAGCAGCAGCACTTCTATACACCGAGTTCCAGTATGCGCAGTGTGTGCGTGGGTGTGTAGGATAGCATGTAGCATATATGCGGGCTGGAATATCGCGTCGCAGAAGGGGACGACGACGACGACGACGTCTCTGCCTGTGTGCGCGTCACGCGACGTTAGGGTGGTCGACGCGTACACGCGAAGCTATACATACCCCCGCAAGCCCATAGCAAGGGAGAGAGCAGCGACGCACAGCTTCCAGTCTTGTCTAATACCCGAGATAAGATTAGAAGTCCCCCTTTATCTCGCGCGCGCGCGCGGGGCATCGATAAAGAAGCCGCCCGGCCAGCCGAGCACGCTTCATCAATTTTAACTTTATATTCCTTTTATGCTAAATTACCAAAGGCTTGTTTGCCATTGCCGTTGCGGAGACGTATAGTCGAGCTCGAGCTGCAATATACATAAACGCCGTGCGCGCCTTCGAGCCCGATATATATCAAGTAATAGACGACAAATAGTTGTCGGCGGCAGCGATCGCCAATATATATTCCGGCCTCGACTTTTTCATCTTCTACTGTACAGGGTCTTTATATATATACACGTCGAGATGCTTCCGAGCGATCGATCCCTACGTACCCGCGTCGCGATTCGTTTTTCAAAACGCCATTGCGAACGAGAAATTGCTGACTCGGAGTTGGGCTATAATAAGGACGACGACGAGGAGCTAGGTCGAGACAATGGGCTTTTTTCCCAACTCGAGGTACAATGAGTTTTGGCCACGAGGCAAGCAGCAGCACTCGATGATAGCTCGAGAGTTTGCTATGCGGTGGAGGAATTCGTCGAGGCCAGCCGATATAGTTCATTAAATTTTCTCAACTATTTAAACTTGGATCAACTATTCGCGAGTCTTTTCGTCGGCAGCGTCGAAGGTCCCACCCAGCGTGAAAGATTGGCCCCATAGGCCGACTTTCAGGTACACGTTTTGCAGCTACAGGGCGATCAAGAATCGCGCGATACAGGCATCGCTCGATGTGCCAGGTGCAGCTATAACATATACACAACGCGATGTATCGAGGAAGCGAGTTTGGCGACGGACTGCCAGCAGCGAAGGTCGGAGGAGCTTGCGCCGCGCAGTTCAAAGGGCTATATTCCACCTATATACACAGGTACAGGCGCTCGCGTGTTTGTGCGTGTAATTTATAGTGCGGTGCAGTTGTGTGCGGCACACAATTTGGTATATGCTATGTACGCGGCGATCGGGCGATCAGGCGCGGGGAGCGACAGGCAGAGCTCGAGGGTCGGCAGCAAAAATCAGTTATAACGAAAATGTACGTTGACAAATAATTGTGGGTGTCTCTGCCTAGGTTGGAGAGAGAGAGAGAGCGTTGAGTGCTATTAGCGTTGGGGCAGGCGCTCGACTGGACTGACTGACTGACTATATGTGTGTAGGCTAGCGATCGCCGCAGCCGAGCTTCATCATGGGGTAGAGTATCGAGGGCTACGAACGTGCCTCTATGGCCAGAAGCTGCCCGAGCATAGAGTCTCTCTCTCTCTCTGCAGTGTGGCACAAGCGTGCAGCAGCTAGTATATTATAGACGTAGGGTTAATGCGCGTCGGCGGCACGGAAGTAGCTGTACGTGCACCCCCCCAATTAAAATTCGATCCGGTCGTGCATTATCCTCCTCCTCATCCTCGTACGTATATACTATAGCACGCAGGACGCGCAGTGCCGAGTTTTGCACGACTGGTCCTCGCGCGCATAAAAGTGCCTTTTGCCGTGCGTCATTGGCCGCAGAGCATCGAGTGCAGTATACGCGGTATAGAGCCGTATACAGTGGTATAGATGCAAACTGGCAGATAATGCGGATCGGCGAGCTTTTACGCGCTAGACACCGTTTAGGTGTCTATATATACGCAAAGAGTCGGCGTGGCCGAGCTGAACACATGTGCGCGCAGGCAGGCACACACACACAAGACCTTCCATCGATCCGTGACGTCGACTAAAATAATGCTCGTTAATCGAATTGCCGCGGCCGCAGCAGCGTAAATAAGTTAGCCGAGAGCTGCAGCAGCGAGACAGAGAGAGAAGAGAGAGAAGAGAGCGAGAGATGATGCCGCCGTCGGTGCAAATTTAATATACGATTTAGCCAAAGGGGGGCCCTTTACTTGGCTGGACGCGCTCTGGGGAGTCGATAGTAGTAGTGGAGTCGGCGAAATCCAGAAAAAGGGCCAATGCATCGTCGAGACACGGCTCCATTGTATACACTGCCGAGCTGCAAGCTGGCCTACGAATTGGCTACTATAGGTATATAGCTGCCGCCGTTTGCACGCGCAGTACTCGAGCATGTCCGATGTCGCAGCAGATGCAGCCTGCCTCTACGTATACGTGCGTTCGATATATACGAGCGATTGTGCATCCGTAAGCAGCCGATAATTACCCTCGGCACTCGACTAAAGAGAGAGAGAGAATCAGAGACGGCAGTCGCGTCGAGAGCCATCGAGTAGCTGGCCTATTGATCAGGGGCCTTTGTCGATCGTCAGCCGTCGTGACGCGCGTGAATCGCGAGACTACCTCTGCAGCAACAGTTTTACGCTGCTATTACTGATATATACGTCTATTGATACAGCTCGTAAATTATCGCATTCGAGTAGTACAACAGATGCGGCATCGTATATAGCCCCGCGAGACATGCGATAATTTTGAGGAAAATCAACGACTCATTACTCGATATAGACTGGCGTGTATCGACTCGAGCCTCGCTCCAAGCTAGAGAGGGAAAGTCGAGCGCAACTCGAGCCGCAACTCGAGTCAACCGGTGTTCGAGTCATCGTCTCCAGCTCTCGTCGTGCAGCACGCGCTTCA